GCTGGGTTCTGTCAAGTGAAGGAAGTGTAAAATACCCTTTCTTTTCCCCTTCCCACCCAGTCTAATGGAAATAATGTGATTTATCTCCCAGAATGGCATATTAATGCATATTAACTGCACAGGTGGCCTGAGAAATTTAGGACCACAGTTCTCCTCCCACCTTTCTTTTCGACAGAGAAATCACAGAGCACCGTGGACATCTCTGCAATGTCAATACAGAACAGGCAAGAGAAACCAGGAGAAAAAAAGCCTATTACAATAGCCAAATCAGATTTTCCACAGTCTGTAGGCCACAGCTCTCCATTAATTCCCATTTAATATAGATAGAAATAAGACCTTCTTGCAGGGGATTCATTCTTTGCAAACCAGATCATGCTTCTGTGCTTCAGTTTTGTCACCCGCAAAATGTAAAGCTCAGTTCTCCTTATCTGTGCAAGTCTTGGAAAGCCACAGCTAAAATCTGTAGATGTTTCTTAAAATAAAATGAGGGGTTAAAAAAATTCACTAAAAATAATGTTTCTTTAACAAAACAACCTTGGGTGCATAAAAGAGAAAGTGGTTTTGACTTATTACTGGGTATGAGAGGGAGGCAGCAAGGGGATCGGAGGATGGATGGCGGAAACAAAGAAAGTAAAAAGAAAGGTTTCCTACCTACACCTTTAGCATTCTTTCCCCTTTGTGCCTCTCAAAATATGAGTGATCACAGTGGCAGAAGGACAGAGAAATCACCACAGTCAACAAGATAGCACATCAGTATGAACTGCAGCATCGTTTGACCCCTGCTGTCCTGCAGAGAGCTCTGGTACCAGCAGGGGAACTTGACCAGCACTGAAGTAACACGTAAACCTGTTGACTATTGATGCAGATACAGCCTGTGTGCTGTAGCTCCCTGTTTGTCATGGGAATTATGCAAGCAAGGCCCTGCCTTTGCTCCAAAACCATTTTTGGGTCCACCAAACCAGATGCCACAGCATCATGTATCCCAGCGCCAGCCTCATGCCACCTCAGCACATCTCTAGACTATTCCATTTGCTATGGATTGACACATTGGCATGTAAACTAACTTCTGCATCCATCCATGCCATAAAGATGAACAGTTAACACCCATCTCCCTTTGTCTCAACTGATTTGGACGTAGACAGCAAAGAATCAGCCCTGGTTTTATCCCATGTATAATGCACCGTATTTTGTGTTCTTTTCACTTCAAAAAAGATCAGAGGAACAAAAGAAGTCAAGAGAGATTTCCAAGACCTTTTGACTCCATAAAGACTGATCAGTTGGATCGGACTGCAGCCCAATAAAACTCCTAAAATAAGCTATGATCCACCTCTTATAAGTAGCTTTCTACATTAAAAAAAAATAATAATAATCTTGTTCAAACTCAACCATAAAAAAAAAGCAAAAAGAGCAAGTAGATTTACTTGCATACTTCATTTTCTGCAATAATATTAAATAGCTGCAATAATATTAAATGTCATGGATAGACCTTTTAGCTTTTCTCAAACAACACTTTGGAGACAAGATGATATCCTCTAGCAACATTTCCTACAAGTGTTTTTCTTTTCATCACTTTAAAAGTTTCCAGGAAACACTTGGCACATTTTAAGGAGCTGAACTCTGAACTAGACCCAGTATGTTTGTACTGGGGATTTTTTTTGGGGGAGAAGGACAGTAGACTGAAAACCCAAAGAAGAAGATTCATTAGCTTGTCTATAAGTTTCTGGGACACTACACGTGGACACACACAAACTTCAGGGCAACTTTAGTGCTCATTCCAGTTATATATCAAACACTTTCCATCAGAAAACATATTGGTACTGGACTCCAGAAAGTCAGCCCAACAGAAATAAAGATCTTGTACATCGTTGCTCAACAGAGGCTCCAAACAGAATAAAAGCAAATAATAAATTCCCTTTGGTGGAATAAATCAGGCACAGTGCAAACACACCACAGATGGGTCATAAGGGACACCTTCTCCTAAGCCCCATCCACCTTCACCTTACAGCAGTACTAAAAGCCTCATAAATAATTTAACAAACTAATGGACATGTTTTTAAACATTGTGGGCTGATGCTGAAAGAAGCACCACGTTGGCAGAGCAAGATGTGAAAGTGGGAAGCTTGTGGCTTTTTATTCTGTGGTTATTTTGAAAGTCAGGACAGCCGGGTGTGCTACAGACCCAGTATTTTTGTCCGCAGCACTTCCCTCTGCTAGAGCTTGAGCCTGGGACAGCAAAGCAGCAACACACTGAAGGGCAAACTTCAGGAGGAAGCAGAGGTTTGTTTTGGAAAGCTCTTCAGAGTCAGCAGGACAGAGCCAAGTGAATCACTGATAACAACCTTCCTGACACATTCTGCAGCCATTTAAGGAGTGAAGGTCCCAAGATGTGGGACTCAGCACTTCCCATCAGCTGCTGAGGAGCCTGGTTGCCACTCAGCTGAGATACATGTTTCCAGACCTCTAACTCAGGGACCAGGGTACCAGGACACCCTACCAGCTTTGCCAGCCAAAGCCAACCCCCAGCAAGGGCAGCAGACACCTTGACATCTCCAGTATATCCAACACACACTTCAGGCTAAAGTGGGAAGCTTGTGGCTTTTTATTCTGTGGTTATTTTGAAAGTCAGGACAGCCGGGTGTGCTACAGACCCAGTATTTTTGTCCGCAGCACTTCCCTCTGCTAGAGCTTGAGCCTGGGACAGCAAAGCAGCAACACACTGAAGGGCAAACTTCAGGAGGAAGCAGAGGTTTGTTTTGGAAAGCTCTTCAGAGTCAGCAGGACAGAGCCAAGTGAATCACTGATAACAACCTTCCTGACACATTCTGCAGCCATTTAAGGAGTGAAGGTCCCAAGATGTGGGACTCAGCACTTCCCATCAGCTGCTGAGGAGCCTGGTTGCCACTCAGCTGAGATACATGTTTCCAGACCTCTAACTCAGGGACCAGGGTACCAGGACACCCTACCAGCTTTGCCAGCCAAAGCCAACCCCCAGCAAGGGCAGCAGACACCTTGACATCTCCAGTATATCCAACACACACTTCAGGCTTCAAAGAGTTGCAGCCTGAACATCGCCCCCCCCCCATGTCTGGGTTGTGCAAAACATCACTCAAACTACATCCAGCTTCTCTCAAGACACGGGAAAAAAAACAAAACCAAATGATTCACTGACCTGAGCCTGCACCCAGGGTGCTAGAGAGCCAGGTTTCCTGCTGCAGCTCCCAAGGAAGAAGATGCACACACCACCTCTCTACTGCCTGCACATCACTTTATAAGCTCACACCCACACTCCCATCTGTGCTGTTACTGAGTCACCCCAGAAGACTCTCACCTGGAAATAGATATCAACCTGCAAAGCAAGCCACCTGTAAGTAGGTGTCCTCCATGCTGATGACTGATTTCTTCAGAGTCAGGAGCTCCAGACCCCCAAATCTGCATCGTTTATACCCTGACCCTGCCTGCAGACCTGCAGGTAATGGGGATAACACCAGTGGCGAGCAGACTGCCTGTTGCTCATGCCTGTCTTCAGGAGCCCAAGTCCTCCCAAGGCTTTACAAACCAGCCACCTACCCAAAACCAGGCACAAAAAGGCTAGGAGACAGAGTGCTGAGCCTGTGTCCCTTTCCTGAACCCAGTCCACCCTGAAAGTGGATGGATTGTTGTCCATGGGCTTCACAAAGCCAAGGCTTTATTTTGCTTTTCCAGAAGTTTCCTGCATTCTGGCAGGACAGCAAACCCCTAAACTTCCCACCACCATATTCTGGAGTTTGCTGTAACCAACATGACACCTCAGTTTTTTCCTTCATGTCAAGGCCTCCTTGAAGCCTGGTGTCATGAAGAAGTGCATTGCCTGACATGCTGCTCTGCTCGATTGCTGTGACCACATTAGGTAATTTGTCCTTTCTGGACTCTGTTGCATATTACTGATGGTGACCTCAGAGGTGGTGCTGAAAAGGAGGAAAAATATACACTGTTCAATTACCACTATCATGTTATTTCTTGATAACACTGTAATTAAATTCAACTGTCACTGTGTACCCTACCTTAGGCCAATATACTGAGTAGAACAGGCAAGTAACAACCTTCAGTTTGATGGCACCTTCATAAAATGAAATAATGACAACCTACAGATAAACCAGCCCTTTGTAGCCATGAAGCTGCATTTGATCACGTCATATAAAGAAATTATAGGGAAATATACCCTTTACATTATTCTTACAAATTCTCTTTATCCCTCTGAAAGAAATCATGAGTTCTACAGAGTGGAGGCCATGTAGAGGAGAAATTAAGGCTGATAAAAAGGCAGAAGTGATACTGGCTTAAAGGTGAAACCACTGACAGTGATATTTAGCTGAGATATCATCCTTCACCAAGGCTTGACATTTTTGTATTTCAAAACTTACCTACTCACAGCCATGCCATTCAAAACAAACTAGTCAGCCCTGCACTCAGAGGAGACCGTGTACTAATCAGATCTTCTAGCTAATTCCATAAATAGCAGCCTTGAAATTAAGCTTTGCCTACACATCTGAGGAGCAGAGACTCGACTGCCTCAGAGGGACCCGTGTGCCAGGGACTCCAAATCTAGGGGCGAACAGCAGCACCTCCTGGATGCCTGCCCAGGCATAAGGAACAGTGGAGTAAAGAGGAGGCATCCATGAAACAATGTTTATGTTTGTAAAATCAATCAAAGCAGAAGAGTTTACAAAACATATCTCTGAAAGCATCTCCTGAATGCCAGTCCCCAGCTGCCTGGCAAGTGATGTGTCCCTTCAGATAAGGCATTTTAAAGAAATAGCCCATATGTGACAAGTTTGGAGATTTGACCCTCACAGAGGGGCTAGGAAGTGCAGCCAGTTTAACATTTTTTTTGTCTTCTTTTGGTTTTGGGTTGGGAGAGACAGGGTTTGGTAAAGCTCCTGGGAGCTCCTGTGCCTGCCCTCCCAGCCAGCCGCTGCCGTCTCCTGCTGTCCTGCCACTGAAAGCTGTCTCTTGCCTCCCAGATCAGCATCTTCATGACACATTTGTCTAATTATGGGAACGACCGCCTGGGCTTATACACCTTTGCCAACCTGGCCAACTTTGTTAAGAGCTCAACTAACCTGAGGCTGCAGACACTGCCCCCAGTTCAGCTGGCTCAGAAGTACTTCGAGCTCTTCCCGGAGCAGACGGACCCGCTTTGGCAGGTAACGCCACATCCTCATCCCCTTCTTCCTCCAGTGACAACCTGCTGGTTGAAATGAGAATATCTTCCTATAAAAAAATTACATATATATATGGAGCATATATAATATATATATATATAAACTTATTTTTATATAAATCTATGTAAAATCTCACTTCACATTTAGATATGTGACTTCTTCCTGCGTGCCTTCTTAGATGATGTCAATTTTCTTGAGAGACCACTGCTTTTGATTGGCAATGGATTCATTTCCACTCCCCCCACATCAGGGGTGAAAGCACCAAATTGCCATTTAGGTGAGAGAAAGCTTCCCTCCCCATCCCTCCTGGCTGGCATTTTGCTGATGCACCACTTTGCATGAACTAATGGTGTTACAGTATCAGTAAGATGCCTGCAGCAGCCAGACAGAGCCAAACGATGCCAATTCATTGCACCCCTTCATGGGGAATCACTAACATGGGATGACTGCAGCTACAAGGAGGGTTTCCCCTTCCATGAAGCAGCCAGGAAAAGGGAGGGCAGAACTCTGGCTCTTCTCTTATTCCAAATAGGATGTGCCATGCTGTGCTTTGAGCTGTGCCTGCAGAAGTCCAGTGTGACACCATGGAGACCTGGGCAGTTGTTTTGGGCTTACAAAGTTGTTTGGACTCCTTGAAAAGGAGCAGAACTTTTTCCTATTTCTTCAGCCCAGATGCAAAAGCAGTGTAAATCTATAATATTTCTATTGAGTTTAGTGGAGCTGCTGTGATTCACATCAATTAATGATTTTGTCCATTATCTTTTATTAACTGTATTCACTAGCAAACTGTATCTTCTATTAGCAGCCAATAACAGGCAAAAGCAGCAACTATAGAAAAACTGCCTTAAAGAGCAGTCAGTCCCAACCCATTCTGTGGGATCTTTTATTCAAACGCTTTTATTTTGAATTCAGAAGTAGTAGAAAGATAAAGGGATTAATAATATCCCACATTTCTATTTTGCCCCTCCTTTTGGATTTTTGTGTAAATAAAAATTGGCAGTAAGTCCTATGCATCTGAAACTATTTTAAGTAATGCCTTGAAACTATTCTAACAGAGGTTTCCATTTTAACCTCAAATGAAAACTTGATTAAATCAATGTTTTACATTTTTTTTCTTCTTTTCTTTTTTTTTTTTTTCCTAATGACTGAATGTAATCCTCAGTCATGCAAAACCATTAGATACACATTGAATTTTAGTCAAAGGGACCACATCTGTGCCTACCTATGTGCCTATGGACCCCTCTGAGTTTATGAAATGACTCTCACTAACAGAGAGATGGAAATGCAGCAGTGTCACAGAGTGTAGGTTTTGACACCAATCCTTCTGGGATTTGCACAACTGAGCAGCATTACTGACTTCACTGTGACCCCAGGAAGGATTGGTCTGGAAGGATACCCAGGAGGTGGGTCCCTGTGTGCCTGAACGCTTCCATGGATCCATACCAGAGTGCTCAGTATCTGGCAGGAGTAAACTCGGAGGAGGAAATGTGGGGTTTGACTACTCAGTGCATGGCTCTGGCATTAGTGTGTAACATTGAGACTGAAGGGCAGGCAAACATTCAGGATAACCCCAGCATGATGTACACACCTGCCTTTTCTTCTTCAGAATCCGTGTGATGATAAACGACACAGAGATATTTGGTCCAGAGACAAGACCTGTGACCACCTACCCAAATTTCTCATTATAGGACCTCAGAAAACAGGTAAGAAGTAATGAATTTGTAACTGAAGCTAGTGCCCAAATTCTGTGCCTCTGCATTTGTGTCCTGGAAACTGAAGCCAACTCGCTGCTACAGGGATGGTGAACTCCCAGTTCCTAGGGGACTTGGATAATAAATCCTTCACTGCCAACACAAAGGGACAACTGTTTGTAGACTAAAATTGCATCCATTCATCATAAACAACCCCATGCTGTCAAGCTTCCCTATGTTAAGATTGTTAATAAGTTATTTGACAAGTTATTTCAACATTGTCTGAGACCCTAATTGACAATCCATGCATCTTCCTTGCAGGCCTCTGAGGGTCTCAGGGCATTATTTGAATTAACCCAGATACTCCCATTCCCAAGGTGCTATTGCTGTTGTAGATATATTACAGAAAGTGGATGCCAAAGCAGTGAAATAAATGAGTAATCTAAGGTAACACAGAAATTCTGTGACAGAGACACAGCAGGTCTTGATTCATAGTCCACTGATAGCTTGCATAGCATTAAGTCATTGAGGAAGACCAAGTGTAAAGAGACATTCCCAACATTTTCATTTACCACCATATATCATTTCCAGTTGTTTTTGTCAAGCAAATAATGAAGCACAGTTACAGGGATTTTAAAACATCCTTCTTACATATGGGTTTGTTAGCACTGAAATAGACAATCAGTTCCTCAATAGCAGACCCCCAGAAAAACACAGAGAAGCAAAAGTGGAGTTCTGGGAGCAGCAAAAGCATAATCCCACAATTAGTGCTTTGGAAAAGTTTTGTGCAATGTGAATAGTTTGAAAACAAAGGTGTTCAGGCCAGACTCCCTCCCTGGTGAAATACACAGCCAAGCAAGCAATGGCACCAGCAGCAGTTCCTTGCTTGCACCCGGAAGCAGAATTCAGAGGTTGCAAACGGGAAAAGTTCCATGAGCAGAGAAGTCTGCATGTCTTCCTCTTCTCTCTGAAAGCCCCTTCTGCTTACACAGGCCTTTCATCAATAGGCAACTTTCTTCCAACAAGGTAATTTAATTTTCCTGTATATTCTCAGCGTGCGTTGATTTAAAGTCCTGTCTTGAATACATAAAGTCAAAAGAGTTTGTGTTTCCCTTCTCTTTCCGTGACACGAGCATCTCTTTTTGTTGCCGTAGGAACAACAGCGCTTTATTTGTTTCTCCTGATGCATCCTTCCATTATCAGTAATCTCCCCAGTCCAAAAACTTTTGAGGAAGTTCAGTTCTTCAACGGAAACAACTATCACAAGGGAGTTGACTGGTAAGGAAAATAACAACAAAAGGAGAAGTGTTCATTATTAATACGTGGTAAATCACAGTGGAACAATTACAGAAGCATGTATGACATCCACATAATTACAGGATGAATTTGTTACACTTGGTGTTATCAGGTAGAAAAAGAAACTAATTTGTAATGACATTTAATCAAGTCTTTCATTTTGTTTAGATCTTGCATTAACAATTTTCTTATTTCTTTCACAAATGAATCCAAGAGCCAGCTCAGCTATGATGTCTGTCTTCATGCTGAATGGCATCTCTGCCTTTTCATAACTGCACCTAGACTGAATTATAGTCTGTTTATTCAAAAGTAGCTTTTCATAAATTAAGGTTCAATTTGAAAAGAAAACAACAACCCAAGACACTGTAAAGCATTTCTGTTGGCATTCCTAGCACAATTTTAAATATTGCCTTTATTATATTTGCTTAAGAAGAGCATTTTTGTCAGGCACTCATTTCCACAGGGAACAGCAGTTCCCGCCTTTGTGTGGAAACTGAAATGTAGGACAAACATCACACTACCCAGAAAGAGATTGATCTTGGAGCCCTTCTTCCTTGCCCACATAGGGCATGGAGAGCATGCAGAGCAAAGGAGGCTGACTGGAAACAGCAGCTGTGAGACCAGCTTCTCAGTTCAAGGTGCCATGAAAGATAAAGGGAAAGAAAAGCTTGGTGTTTGCTTTTCCATACCATGTAAAGGAGAACACCTGTGGCTAGCACAGAGTATGTGGTGTAACCCACTCAGAGGACAAGGAGCAGTGAGGGGAGGTTCTCTCCTCTGCAAACAACATGTAGAGGAGGCCTCTTGGAGACCTCTTCAGCCATGCTTCACCAAAACTGGCTGGGAGGTTCAAAATCAGCAGGGTCCTGTGTGCAGCATGAGGCCCCACACACTGTGTTTCCATAGAAAGGACACAAAAACCAGTTAGTCTCACCAAAGCTGGAAGATCCTGGAGTGCCCATCAAAACTAAAGGGACCAAAAGTTCCTGAAACTATTTCACCTTTTGCTTTGTTCAAATTCTTCACCCTTTTGATCGAACCTTCTGTTTTACTTACTTTCACTTCCAATCAATTTTAAGTGGAAGAGACCATTTGAAGCCAAATTTCAAATCTTGCATTCTGAAAAGGTCTAAAATAAAAGATTTGTCAGATTCAAAATAAGATATTTCAACAGTGTTAAAATTAAAAGGTTGACATCTTGAAGCTTTTTCAATTTATTTTTTTTTTCTCTAGCTAAAATGGAACTCACTTCAGACTGGTGAAAGATCTCTCTTTGACATTGAACTTTTTAGCAAAATTCCTATCCATCAAAGCAAAACTTAATTACCTGCCTTCATAGAGGCTTTAGCTATTACCAGCACCATCTAAGAGCCAAGATGTGTTTCCCTCTATTCCAGCTCTGAAGTGAGCTCAGAAATTCAATTTTGTTTCTTGAGGATTATGTCTGAAAATTCACCTTTTCACCTACCATGAAGTGGGAAGCTCAGGGATATGACCCTTTAGTGATACATCTAATTCTAACAAGTTTCTTCACCTCCCAGGTACATGGATTTCTTCCCCACTCCTTCCAATATCACCACTGACCTCCTCTTTGAGAAAAGTGCCAACTATTTCCATTCTGAGGAAGCTCCTAAGCGAGCTGCTTCCCTCATCCCCAAGGCCAAGATCATCACCATCCTCATTGACCCATCCGATCGGGCGTATTCCTGGTACCAGGTATGGTCCTTGCCTTCAAGAAACAGGCAGTGAAATCAAAGGCAGGGGAATGATGGCCAACATCAGTGGGAATTTGTGTCCTTGAGCAAGACTGGGATTTATTGCAAAGCATTTGCACCGTGTAGAAGTGGAAGGATGCTGCATTCCAGCTTTTGCAGTTGGCACCTGTGACACCAGTGCCATAAATGATGAAACTTCTCAGCACAGAGCTGCCACCAGCTGTAAACAAACAGTTTCATCTCAATTACAGCTGACAAGGCATGGAGGAAAAGTGGTGCTCCTTGGCCAGGGAGATACACAGGGGAAAATGAGCATGGCCGAGCTAGGAAATCAGAGCTCTTGATGCTGAGATGTGGTACCTCACCCCATCCTCCAGCATGTGAGCTGAGCAGTATGTGGTGGTGTACAAATGTATGCAGTATATTCTAAAGTTTCCAAGGAGTTAAAAAGAGCTGTGTCTGGAGAGCTGTTTTTTCCTTGGAAATGAAAGAAAGTCTGTTGATTTTCTGAGGAAACTCTAGGATGCTCTTCCTTGCCTTTTACTGACCTTTGCACAAGAAAGTCTGCATTATTTAAAAAAAACCACCCTATTTTTAAAGAGATGTTTAAGCATGCATGTAAATTATGGTGCAATCACACAGATAAAGGATATACTAAAAGCTGTGCTAAAACAGACACTTATTAATAATGTGCAGTGTTGCAATAAGCAAAAAATACACCATTTCTGACACTGTTATCAGTTCTGCAAGGAAGAAAACCTGGCTGAGGGCTGCAGTTGACACCTTTTTAAAAGGCTCATTTGCACAATTACAACTGAGAGATGCAAAGCAGTAAAAAAAATTATGCCTACTTTGGCTTTCCATCTCCCCTCCTGCCTGTGCCAGGAGGGACCTTGACTGAACGGTGGCCCCATCCTGCTTCCTTCCCCTCCTTGCTCCTACACAGCAGAAGTGGCTCTGGGTGGGGAGCTGAGAAGCTCTTGGGAGGTTTATGGTTTCACCCACAGCATCCTTGTGATACTTGTCTCAACATCTCCTGTTAGCACCAGCGATCCCATGAAGACCCTGCTGCCCTGAAATTCAATTTTTATGAAGTCATCACGTCCAGCCCCTGGGCTCCCTCGGAGATCAGGGCTCTCCAGAAGAGATGCCTGACACCCGGCTGGTACGCTGTCCACATCGAAAGGTGGTTAATGCATTACCCCCCCTCACAGGTAACTTCCCACCTGTTGGGTCACCAAGCTCATCCACTCTCAGAAAATCCCCCAAATGAGTATGGCCTCATCATTGGAGGTGACGGGATATTTCCCGCTGGAACTCTTAGCTGTTAGGAAATGCAGATTTGATAAGATCAAGATATTTGGCCGAAGTGTGTTGATTTTTCTGTCTTCTGATGGAAAAAAAGGCAACTGGAGAATGCTATGAACTGTGCCCATGGGGGCTTGGTGGGGGACTTTGGGATTTCCTTCCAGGATCAGCCAAGGTTGTCAAGGCTCCTGGGCCCCAGAAAACAAGCAGCTGCAGCATGAGACATTGTGGGAAGGTCTGACAAATTAATTTAGAAAATGCTTTTTCTAAAAAGAAAATTCATTTCACTTCCCACTCACTCCCTTTCATAGAAATTTTCACATTTGTTAGATCCTGATACAGAATTCTCAGAGTTAGAGCAGAAATCCCTTCTTTTGCCCCATTCTTCTTCAGATGTTTTATTGACTTGTCTTTTATGATCTTTCCCCTGAAAATTTTGTGTAAACACTTAAGACCTAAAGAATATTCCCACTACTAAAAAAAAACCCAAAAGTTGCTTCCAGATATAAAACTACAGTAAACAGTTTGGCTTTACAAAATAGGTGCATGGGCACTGCTTACCTGGGGATGTGGTCCACAGTTCAGTTCATGTGCCTACCTGCTGTAAGAAAAAGTTGTAGGAAGCTGTTTAATGAGCAAGCATAATGAACAAATATCTCCAGAGATGGCTCTATGTGGGACAGAACTGTGCTGAAAGCAGGTAGTGTTGCCCATTTAATCAGGGACCTGGTAAAACAAAAGGCAATAGAAGCTCTGTCTTTTTGCAGTCCTCACTTTTCTTTTTATACAGTCTCAGCTGTGCTCCGAAGAAGAGAAACAGGTCAATCCCATTTCCAGGAGAAAGGAGAAAGTTTCAGTTAGTCATTTACTTTCTGCTTTCATCTCTGGCCTTTCTACTCTTCTGTAAATGGGGAAGGAGTGATGCCAGGAGCAGCTGAGCTCGCAGCTCCTGAGGGCTGTTTCCCTAGGAGCACACAGTGCACGTCTCCTCATCAGCCACCACATCCCACCTTACTCCTCCACAAAAAAAAAGGGGCTGTCCTGGCAAATTTGGAGCATGCAAAGGGCAACAAGCATCCTGTGCCCTGTTACCTCTGCTCCCCCTCTCAGGAAGATTTCTCTCCTCCTGCCATAGCGCAGCCCTCTCTTATTAAACATTCAGGGGCACGTTGGCACATTTCTTGTAAAACCGGTAACAGCTCATGTTTCATAGTTATGGTGATTAATTTTACAAGACCCACAACAAAATGCACTCATTCTTAATAAGGTGCATACAGAGAGTGCACTCCTGGTGCTTACTAATGGGCACTCGGTAATGTGCGTTCACTAGGCCTGGGCACTCAAAATCTTAATAATTCATAATAAGCCTTCCCAATAAATATAAAACACGTCTGCCCAGAATAGTTATTAGTAATGCTGCTTGGTACACCATTAGACTTTTGATACATTGTCTTAAGATTTGCTTGTGGAGGTCAATGTACCTTTGCATCACATCAATCTTTAATTGAAAACAAAACAAACAAAAAAAGCCCCTTTGCTAAACATTTTTGCAGTCCTATAGGGTTGGTAGGCTGGTGGTAAGCCTCACATAAATTGCCAAAAAATAGCAGTTTTGAACATGTAATTTTATAGTTCCTTTAATCCTAAGATATACATACACTTTTTTTTCTTCTTCTTATTCCATGCCAGATTTTCTATGGAAGCATTGGAAACCTCAACAGTATTTTTACATTCCTTCCTTATCTCTTTTTCTCAGAATTCTCTGAGGCTCAGGTTTGGCTTGTGATATTTAACTCTTGAATTTTAACAACGTGCACTCACAGAGTTACCCAGTGCCCACCTGTCCAAATTCAACACAGCAAAGTCAAAAGTAAACCTAAAAAGAAGTTAATCCACGTGATTGTTGTTACCACCACACCAAGTCACATGCGAATTTAAATCCATGTTGTCACAAAAGGGAAATAGTGTTCTTTTGTTAATCAAGGGCTTGTTTCTAAATAGCTTGCATGTTTATCCCTACAGTTGCTTATTATTGATGGACAGCAGCTAAGAAGTGACCCAGCTGCTGTGATGGATGAAGTGCAGAAGTTCCTCGGAGTTTCTCCTCATTATAACTACTCTGAAGCTCTCACGTGAGTCTGTTCCTTTATCATATACCCTATGGGATCCTGGTGTACATCCCCTCCTACCAAGATCATTGATTACAAACAAACAAAAAGCACATTACAACAATAATAATTTTGCAAAGCTTGGGGGTTTCTTAGAGTCCCATTTAACAGCTGTCCAGTTTCCCCTTAACTTGCACACAGACAGTGCATTCCCTAATTTAATTCCATGGTTGCACAGGTTTCCACATGCAAAACTCTACCATGCACGACACACAGAACACCACATGGGCAAGGTGAGGCAGAGCCTTTCCTCATTCCCACAGCCCATGCAGGCTGGTACCAGGAAAATGGGACCACAGACTTTCCAGCTACCCCACACCGCCTCTGCTCTGCTTACAATTATTCTTCAATGTTTCCTCTGCTGGGAGGGTTGTGCTTATTTATATAACATGTCTGAAGTGAGAGCTGCCTGCTCGTTCCTCTTTGAGCCTTCAGAATGTTGCTATGCCAAACTCTTTTTTTTTCTAGAGGAAAAATTTTGGATTTCAGAAGGCAATTTTTGTCAGTCATTGGTTTCCAAAGCGGATGAAATAGAGAAGGAGTTGGAACACACAGCTGAACTACTGATGTTTGAACAACTGCTGCTGCACAGCTGCAGTGCCTTCTGCTCAGTTTTCAAAGCTACACACCCACATACATATATCTTCCTTTCTGGAGCTAAATGAAAGTCAGTGGAATCACACACTGTAAAAAAAAAAAAAAAAAAAATTGGCTTCTCATATTTGGAGAGGAAAAATGGCTTGTAAACAGATCTGTAAAATTATGCAATCACTGTTTAGAGGCATCAAGAATGCAAATGTGCTGTGGAAGCAGACACGTCTGCATGGAATTAAGATGGAAGAGAAAAAGGCATTAAACCATGTTCTTGCTTTATGGTAGGACTGTCAAAGTAAAAAAAGATTGTATAGGATCAGTCCTAGTCATTACTGCCTAATAAGTGCATGCCACACATTTTTAAAGTTGTCACAAAACAGCCTAAGGACCCAGTCCTGCACACACTAGTGAGCAACAAGTTCATCACCCTGAGTAATGACATGACTGTCTTACAGGAGAGTAAAATCATCCCAGGCTGATTAAAGGTACTAATCAGAGCCATGGGAAGAGAGGAGAGGGAGACATGGACAGGGCTTGGGCACCTGGAGCAAAGGGTACAGCAGAGATGCACAAGAGATGTCAGAGCCAGAGATGAACAGCTAGGTCATCACTTCTTACAGATGCTGTGAAAGAGGACCTAGTTTATGATAAGGTATAAGGCAGTAATTTTTTACAGTGAGGGTGGTGAAATACTGGCCCAGGTTGCCCAGAGAGGTGGCAGATGCCCCATCCCTGGAAACATTCAAGGTCAGGTTGGTCAGGGCTCTGAGCAACCTGATGTAATTGAAGATGTCCCTGCTCATTGCAGGGTGGTTGGCCTAGATGACCTTCAAAGGTCCTTTCTAACCCAAACTATTATACAAGTCTATGACTTGCACTTTTTATTAGAGTAGTGGAAAGCAAGGGGCAAAATAAATTAATACTGCAAGGCTTTTACACATAATGCCATCAATAGAAAGACATTGGGATCCTCGGACAAACTGCCAGGAGAGGGAAACTAGCTAATGGTCTTCATGAAGTGTTCACTCTGACACTGAAGAGATATTTCCCATCTCTCCCTCACTGACTCATTTCACTGGGAGTGACCAAGGGCTTAATTTTTTTAAGTATCTGAGCTGAATTAACAGAAACCTAGGATGCAGGGGACTGAAGTTACAAAAGACCTCTCATTTTAATCACAGATGGCCCTACCAAAGCTCCACTGACTGCTAGGAAGATGTATTTCATGTCCTGCATCCTCAGGTGACTCACGGTCTGGGGTAGCATGGACCAGTGGTTCCCTTCTTTGTTCTCAGCAGGCAGCAACAAAAAGAGCAACACAACTCCTCTGGAGGGATTGCTCAACATAATGCAAACCTCAGAGATTTTTGCATGAAGGAATAAAGCTCAAAACCACGATTAGTGCAGGTCTGGGTGCAGACAGACCCTCTCCATCTCTAGCATCATGTATTGACTTACTGAGAGGTTGTGGGGGGGAGGTGATATGGGCATCCAGGTTCAACTCTGCATCTCCTGCAGGCTTCCTTTGCAATTACAGTTACAAATTACAACTGGGCCTGGAGGAAAGGTTTCTGCTGACTGCTTAAAAAAGATCACTTGTAACTTCAGCCTTAAGGCTATCACTATTTTTAAATAAATACTTCCATTGTGCCCAATTATGTTTTCAGGAGTCCCGAGAGTTTCATAATACCTGAACACAATGGGTCGAATTCAGTCCAAGCTCTCTTACCCTCTTTTCCCCTACCCAAACTCACACATTCTCTTATTAATGTTCAATATGCTCCTTCTGAGGCAGATATATTGTTTGGGGCACAGTCTGGCAGTTTTCCTTTTACCCACCACACTCTATTGCTGCTTCTCTTGGGAAATTAGTGCAAGCCAGCTAAAGTGCTTCACTGTGCAATGAGCAGATGGAACAGGCTAAAAGTAGAAATGAATCTATCATCGATATATCCATTTAATCAATGATTTATTTATTTTTAATTGATACAGCTATTGAGATGACTTATGAAATAAGGGTCAAGCCTGCAATGATGTGCTGGGCAAGGAAAAAAAAACCCGTGAAGAAGGTTCACCCTTCTCTGGAAATCAGTTCACTTACGTAGAACAGCAAATTGCAGGTGCACCCATGTCCTGTGGATAGACCCAGGGCAAAAAGACAGTCTGTAACTAATTAAATCCATGTTTCCGCCCCTTATAATTCATCCTTTTCAAACATCTGCTGAATAGCAGAAATGTGAACCTTTCCAATGCTTTATGCATGCTTCTAGTCCCACAGCAATAAATTCCAAACTTAAAGCTACATATTTTTCATTCTTTAGTCAGGACATGGTTTAATGCCGTCACCTAAAATGCCTTTGTCTTTGAATTTTAGGCATCAAAATCAAATTCTGTATTTCAGATAAGACTGCTAAGACAGTGCTCATGCTACAGTGCCACCTTTGGAATGAAAATTGTATTTAGATCTAATGATATGGCAAGCCCAACTTCTCAGGTGCAGTTAAATTATTAACAAACAGAACTTATCAGTAGGGCTCAACACTGCTTATTTCACTCAAAAATCACCATAAAACATTTCAGTCTTATGTTTCTCATTTTTTCATCACCACACACTTTTCTGTACAAATAGACTAAGGGATTGAGACTCCTGCCTGTTGCAGTCAGCAAATAGATCCACTTGCCCCTTTTAACCCCTTGCACCTTGACAGTGCTGACCTACAACAGCATCATCTCCAGTTGGCCATATGGAGAGAGCTTTCCTTGAGGTCAGCCAATACTGTCCTTGAGAATACAGAGTCTCTGATTTCAGGAAAAAGAGCAAATTAGTAATTTTTTCAACAAAACATTCTTTGTTCAAGTGTCAGTGGATCAAAACACTTGCATCCTGCAGGGATACACAGAGCAGTTTGACATGAAGAAAATCTCTGACCAAAATGAGACAATAAAATAGGTGTCACAGCCTGGAGTAGGACTGTGATCTTTGAGACTGAGGCTCAGGACCTTGACTTGCATCTGATAGATCTTAGAATCACAGAATAGTTTTGGTTGGGGGGACCTTCAAGACCATCTAGTTCCAACCTCCACCCCACCTCCACACTTAAAACTTGTTCTTTATATGCTGGACAAGTAGAATAAAAATTCCCTAGTGTAGGTAAAGCACAATGGGAAAAATATCCTGCCTGCAGCCACTCCCAATGCAAATTTGTAGAAAAAATAAATCTCCCAAGCATTCACAAAAAAGGAAAGGTCTTTCCCACTCTGTCCTCAGTATTTCAGTCATCTAGAGAGATGTGTGCAGCAATCATGTTTGGCTAACACTGATGCCTGAGTAGCTGGGAGACTTTGCTGGAGCGAGGTCTTTCAAAAAATACAATCTTCTATAGGTTTGACCCTCAGAAAGGCTTTTGGTGCCAGTTATTGGAAGGAGGGAAAACAAAGTGCCTGGGAAAAAGCAAAGGTCGAAAATACCCACCAATGGACCAAGAGGTAAGGGCTTTCCAGAGATTCCAGCTAACATTTTTCAGTATTGACTCTGTATTTGGCTCCTAAAATAAACATGCTGGCGTAATTTTTATTGTTAATATTTTCACTGTCTTAATATTTCTATAAATTAGAAACTTGTAATGAGCTTTGAATAACAGGAGGTTAATTACCCCCTTGTAAGAGCCCCTCTCTAGGAGCAGGTGGGAGCACATGCTGCAACCTGCCATGGGGTGGGTTTCCTCCTTTGACTGTTTGTTTGGTTTGTTTTTTTCCCCCTCACCCTTCTCAGTCTCGAGCGTTTCTGTCGAGCTACTACAGAGACCACAACGTGGAGCTGTCCAAGCTGCTGCACAGGCTGGGGCAGCCCCTGCCCTCCTGGCTGAGACAGGAGCTGCAGAAGGTCAGGTAGCACACGAGGGCAGAGGACCCAAACAAGGACAATCTCCCTCACCGTCAAACCCCTCGCTTCTCCGACTCACTTGTGATCGTCAGTAGAGGACCTCATGAGCAACACTCCCTCTATTAACAATGAAAAAAAAGACAACCCACAGAAGAATAAAAAAAAAAAACCACCCCAACAACTACTGTTTTTATATGCACGCGCTGACAGTTATTAGCATCAACCCCTTTTGTCAGCTTCCAGGAAACAATACGGAGCTCCGTGGCATTACTCCTTATCCAGCCCAGGATCCGTGCATAGCCTAGTTCCTCTGTTCACCAGGAAGGACCAGACACTGTGTGCAGGATGGATTGACTTCAGTGTACGTGACAAATTGCAGCCTGTCAGGACACGAGCAAAGGATGGGAACATCTGTCACTGGACAGTGAGGTTGGTCACCTGCTGGGCTTCTTCTGCTTTTGGTTTTGCTGTTTTCCCTCCAACCATGCAAGTTTTCCTGTCATTTCATAGGGAGATACTCAGTCCTTTGCTGCTGGGATCCCTAAAGGTTTTGATATATGTAGCATCAATGCACCATCATTGCTTTCTCCACAGGAACAGGTGGGCTAAATTCTCACCTGACCTTCTTCCCTGGGGTTCTGATAATAATTGATGGCAGAATGGTGAAGGTTGGAAGGGACCTTAAAGATCATCAGGTTCCAACCTCCATGCTATGAGCAGGGACACCTCATACTAGACCAGGCTGCACAAGCCTCATCCAGCCTGGCCTTGAACACCTTCAGGGATGGAGTTTCCACAACCTCCCTAGGCAACCTATTCCAGTGCCTTCCTACCCTCATGGTAAACAATTTCCTCCTGATGTTTGACCTAGACCTCCCCTCTATCAGTTTAAAACTGTTACCCCTTGTTCTATCACTACCCTCTCTGATGAAAAAAAAAATAATCACTGATGACAGTCTGGGCTCTTTCTTCTGTTGGTTTTGGGGTTTTTTTAGCACTTCACAAGACATACCCTGCTTTACTGGAGTGGTGTGTGTTGTTGAGGTGCAAGGCAGCAAGGTAGCCCTTCTCCCAGGCCTCAGAGAGATTAATTGCCTGGTCTTTGAACCTGGCTGCTTTGCCACCCCAGTAAGATCTTTCATTGCATCTGCTGGGTTCCTCCAGCAGCTTTGACAGAGCTCTGAGATGTGAAATTATGACAAACATTTAGTGATAATGCCATAGGACTCCTTAGAACACTATCAAAACCTTTTTAAAAACCACACAGGCCAGGCAAGCAGGGTGCTGACAATAACTTAGTTTCAAATACCTGCTTTTTGTGCCCACTTGGTAAACCATGATAGGATGGTTCACCAAAAATATATTATGGCCTGTGTTTTCTTCTCAGATCTGAGTGGTCAAGGTCAACAAGACTGGGTAGAAACTCACCAGGAAATTAAAGCTGAGTCAACAAATACTAGTTAGGCATTTCAGCCTTGTAACGCTTTCTTTCTAGAAAACAAAAGCTGGCAGAAAATGAAGTAGGTTTTAGTTTTCAAACTTCTCTGCCTTATTTCCTAGGCATGAGCCATTTGAGCTGCTGCAGAGGCTTTGGGTTTTCCCTTGCCCATGAGTTCAGACTAGTGAGCTCTGGCCTTGGGGAGCACGGATCAGTGCACATCAGACTGTAGCACTCAAAGGCACTTAAACAAAATCATCTAGCCTTCAAACCCGATGATACATGCAGATATCTATCATAGCATTTCCAATCTCCCAAATCATGAGACAGTCCATCAACATCATGGCTCTACCTTATTTTGGATTGACAAGTAGAGCTTCCCAGAGCTGTCCTAGTGCCACCCATCCTGCTCCCAGCTTGGTGGTGGTGCCACTTGGGGAGCATCTGCTGGCACCACCTCCCTGCCAGCATTTCCTCACACATGGTGTGCTCCACCCTCATCCACCACTGCCCATCTGAACATGCCTAGCTGCTCCTTCCCTCTGCAGCATTCCAGCTCTTTTCTCAGTCCCAGCACTGTCCCAGTCCAGGTCCCTCATCCATGCAAGGAGCCAGCACTGCCCAAAGGGCGGCACAGTGGAGAGGCTGAGGTGCAACCACCACCAAGACCCTGCACGGCCCCTTGTCCTCCTGCTCTCCACCTCAGCCTTTGCTCCTTCTGCAGAAGGACCTACAGCAGGGGTGGGAATAGGACACCACCTGCCCAGTGACATGCCCAGCTCCATCAGTGCTGCTCCAGCCTGTGCACACAAGGATGTGTATGAATGCACAGGGAATTCATCTCACATAAGTGAGACATCTACTTAATTTTATAGGTGAGGAAGGGAAACAGTGCTCCTAGGACACCATTCATCTCCTCACAAAGCAGACTTCTTAAATGAATGAGATTAATCTTGCTTCTTCCTCTCTATTGATTGTAAAACAATAGACAACTCATTCAGAGGAAGCACTCAGCTGTATAGGTCTAAAATTAGGTGAGCCTAAAAGGAGAGTGTAGGTGTTGAAGAGTGGGAGCTGGAAGGGTCTGAAGGGAGGTTTTGATTTTGTTTTGTTTTCCTAAAGTATTTTTTCCTGTTCTTATATTTTAACCAGAAGGTGTCATCAAAATGAGATAGAGCAAGCTAAATGCAAAAGAAAAAGAAATCTTATATTTTGGGGATTTTTTTGCTGTGATAGATAGATAGATAGATAGATAGATAGATAGATAGATAGATAGATGATAGATAGATAGATTTATTTTTGATGGTGGGAATCAGATACATACTCTGTTGTAAATTCACCCTTTCAGCACATTTACATTCTTTCAACTTTTAGTACTGGCAATGCCAAAGTTTACCACTTTGGTGAGAGTTTTGGGTAAGTTAAGCTTGGTCAGAGAAGAATATCTAAAATCAACTGTTTGATAAAATTTTAGCGATTAAAATGCATCAGAATTGACTCATTAATTAAAGGATGACTTAATACTTCTTGATTAAAAGCTAAATAAACATTAAATTGCTTTCAGGAGTTTTTTCAAGGAAATGAGACAAATACTGTAAAATCTGGAAAGTTATTTCTTGTTCTTAGCTATTCATTTAGAAAGAAAATAATAATAATAAAAAAAATAAGTCTTTCCAACTCTCAGCTCTGTAATGTCATCATGTCTCTAAAACACACAGAATATCTTTACACCTCATTGTCATTTTTTAAGTTTGAATGGGCATCACATTTCTGAGAGATTTCGTGTTCCATTGAAAACTGTCATTTGAATTGACTTCATTATGTGTCATCTAAAGATGAAATAACAGCATTTCAGAGTTTCATTCCTTTCACTTGTAACAGGACCCATCAAGACAGAATTGCTCTGGACCACCATGTCATAGAGGAGCCTTTGTGAACTAGCTGTAAATGATCTCAATTTCTTTTATGCCTTTTATATTGCTGACCACATAATTGTTGGGATTCTTAAAGACCAGCAAAACAAGTGCCATAAAAAGGAAACATTTATACGTGGCAAAGGGCCTGTAGCTGGGGAAGATAATGCTGGCCCTTCTTGCCTATTCATAAGCTACAGGATTCATCTCCACCACCCCTGCATGGGGTGCAGGCTAGAAACCAATAGGAGTTTTACTACTGGAGGGCTGCACCTTGTTGCTGGTCCCTGGAAACCAATATCCCTGCAGACATTTGAAGGGAACTTGCCACACTGAGGACTTGATCTCCCAGTGGAGACCACTGGGAGTCTTTCTATTAATTCCAGCAGATCCCAGTTAGCCTCCAAAAACCAGTTCCCTGAGGCACAATCCATAGAGTTCTAGCACCACTTAGCCCTATCACTGTTGAAAATCCATCTCTAGTTTGATTTCTGTTGCCAAGTGGTAATTTCTTCCTTCCACCTCTCTCGGTCAGGGCTGGACCTTCAAGCCAACCCCACCTCCAGCACCCCGTGGAGCAGCACCACCTCTGCTCTTGCTGTACCATGGGGGGCCTTCTCCACTCCATCCTCCTGCCTAGCTGGCTAAAAGAAATAGAAAACCCTTCAGGGTGAGGTCTATGGCAGCCTATTGGATGATTAAAGCAGGACTCTGGCCCTCAGAAAACTGAGTCTGTATAATCAAGGTTGTCTTTGAGTGGGAAGCAATCAGAACAGGATCCAAAACCTTCTAAATTATACATTGACCTTTCAAGGTCTAACATAAAGTTGCTGGATTAACTGCTCATAGATGTTTTCTAATAAAACAAATTTTCTCTCTGATGGGGAATCAGACTGCCCAAGTGTCCCCAAAACAAATTAAGCTGGCAGAATTATAAATTCTGGGGGGAGGAAGATGTTGTGCAATGGAAGTGCTGATGGGTCCAGACTCTCTGATGTGATAATAAGGCAGCAGGGACGTGCCCTGAATACAAAAGCAGAAGCTGAATATTTTCTCCACTTCCTTCCCATTCATATTAAATTTTGAACCAATGTAGTACACGTGAGAAGGCAGAGCCCCTGCAACAGGGAAACATCATTCACTGCCAGAAGGATCAACTGAGAACAGACTGGGTGCAGGTTTCTCCTGTCCCCCAACCTGGGCCATCTTAAAGTTAGACATCAAGTCCAGACTAGTCATTTAGTTTCCATCAGCAAAAATTATATTTATAATGGGTTTTAAATCCACATTTATAAAAGGTGCATGAGTGTGTGACAGCTGGGTAAAACAGGTCCAACACGGGTATATAAATCAGCAGAGACTAAGTGTCTGATTTTATTGTATTGAAGTAAAATTAAGTTGGCTGCTGGTGTCAGGAGAAGCTCCCTTTGCACCCACAACGTAGCTTTGCCATTTTTGGTCTTGGACTGCAGTGCCATCCCTCTCTTAGCAGTACATAATCTCTTTCCCAAAGAGCTGAAATCTCATAAGATCACCTCACTGTGTTTATCTTCATCAATATTAGAGCAGGAATCTTGGCTTGAAGAATTTGTCTGCTCACCACTATATGAGGTCATACATCTGTGCATAAATTTGCCAGGAAATGTTGCTTCTAAGACTTGATTTACATTTAAGTGCACTGTCTTTGGATAGGAATTTCCCTGTCAAACAGCATTCCTGACCTTGTCTTTATTTTCTCTTTTTTTCCTCCCAGTTC